AAGATCGTAGATGCGGTACCCCTTTTGGGTGGTAGGATACCCAAGAAATACACCTGTGCGGCCCCTTTCAGCAAATTTGTCCAAGCCTGCATGAGTGTCTTTGAAGAATACCAAGCAACCAAATACACGTAGGTGAGTGTAGGATGGTGGCTTGTGAAAAATTGTCTCATAGGGTGTCTTCCCCGTGGCCGATGTCGGGATGCGATTAATGAGGTAAGTCGCAATGAGAATGCACTCTCCCCAGAATCGAATGGGAAGACTGGCTTCGAATCGCAGGGCCCGATCAGTTTCTAGGATATGTCGATGTTTGCGTTCAACCACGCCGTTCTGCTGGGGCGTGTCAGTGCAAGAAGTTTGCATAAGGATGCCTTCTTGTTCGATGAACGCCGCAAAACATCACTGCCAAATTCGCTACCATTATCTGTCTGAATCCGTCGGACCTGTGTTCGAAACTGAGTTTTCACCATATTACTGAAAGCAATTAAATGACGGCCCACATCAGACTTATGACGCAAAAGGTATACCCAAACTCCTCTGCTAAAATCATCAATGATGGTGAGAAAATAGTGAGCTCCGCTAGTTGAGGCCACTCGATATCCACCCCACAAATCAATGTGAATTAACTCGAAACAAGATTGAGTCTTGATCATGCTAGACTGAAAAGGTGTTCGAGATAGTTTAGCTCGACAACATGAATGACAAAGGTCTTTAGATAAAGAAACAGTAAAGGAAATTTGCCGACTAAGAGAACTCATAATGGCATGTGAGGGATGCCCCAGACGAGCATGCCAAACGTCTTCCGAAACCTTCCTGTTCGCTGCGAGAGCCTGCACACGCCCAACTCCAAACAATCGCAGGTAATAGAGACCATCTCGAAGTTCACCCTTCCCAATCAACTTCTTGGAGGGTAAGTCCTGGATGACGCAAAAATTACCAAGAAAGATTAACGCCACATTATTATCCTTGGTTAAACGGCTCACCGATACCAGGTTGCATCGAAATCGGGTACATGAAGAACTCGATCAAGTGTTAAACCCGACTGCATTTTGACTGTACCAATGTGCTTAACAGGAATACTTGCACCATTGGGAATACGTACAGGCTGCCCATCTAAGATAGCCGTCTTGTCCGAAAAAAGTGACTCATCCATGGTTATGTGTTCGTTACAACCTGAATCAAGCAACCATTCATAATCGAAATTGATCATACCTGCCATGTGAGCAGCTGGATCGTCTGCTGTCATGGGTGATTGTGAGGACTCAAAGAACTTTTTCAGCTGCTCGAGTTGATTAATGGAGAATCCCGGGACCGGACTCGAGTCAGAGTCTACTTGCGAAGCCTTTGGCTCCATAGATGACCCGCCGTCAGGTTGAGGACGACGACGCTGAGTGCGTTCTCCGGAGCTGTCTCTTGGAGGATATCTAACCAGCTCGTAACAAGCCTCATTTAGATGTCCAATTCGGCGGCAATGAGTACACCTCGGGCGCTCGCGATTTCCTCGCCCAGTAACCCGCTCTTGCTCGCCACGAGTCGCAAAAACAGCAGCTTCAGGGCTTGTCGACGTTCGCCTGTTATGGGAAATCGCCTGCTGCTGCTCGTCATTGACAACAGCGTTGAAGGCCTCGCAGATCGTGGGGGTTGGCTTCATTGCCAACAATTGTGTGCGGATAGGGGAAAAAGGCTCATCCAGGCCCATTAGAAAGTCGAACAGCCGAGACTTGTCCTGCTGCTCTCTCGCGCGCTTCGTGATGTTGCAGGTACATGACCCGCAAGTGCAGTGAGAAGGCGGTTCGATGGCAGCAGCCTCTTCCTAATACGACCGCAGCCGTGTATAGAATGTGGAGACAGAGAGCTTTTCTTGTTGGAGTTGAGCAATTTTTCGGAGCAACTCGTAAGCCCGAGAGGAGCTTCCTTGGCCAAATCTATCGTGTAGGTCTGACCACATCGCGCGGGACGTTTCAGCCCAGTGGACACTGCTTGGATTTCTTTGTCCATGGACGTCTTGAGCCAGCCCTTGACCATGGCGTCGCAACGATCCCATGCACTGCGTGCGGCTGCTTCCGTCGGTCGAGGAATGAAGCCATCGACGAAGCCGTACTTGTTCTTCGCAACTAGAGAATCTTTCATGTCGAGAACCACTCCCCATAGTTGGATGCGGTGAGCAGATCCCCAACAAGTAATTGACCAGGTCCATCGGATTGATGGAGACTATAGACTGGCGGCAGGACTTCGCCAGGACCCTTCGCGTCGGTGTCGCCCATAGTGAGGGATTACGAGCAACGCGAGACTAGAACTGTGGTCGCTGTATCTTAGCACAGCTCTGATACCATGTCAAATTTGGAGCAAGCGAAAGCGAAAAGAACAGACCGAGATTACGTGGTATCCCCGTGTTTACGGGACCAGTCCACAGGAGAGGAACACCTCTCTAGCTTTAGGTTTTCTGATTATTGAAGTATATTGGCCACAACCGATTACAATCATATTTATACCCTTTACAACTAGAATCAACTAGGGTATAAGCACAATTACAAGAGGAAGCGGACTCCTTCTCCTTGTGTGTGATGGGCGGACGTACGCATGCATGGGCCACAACATGTGTTGGACGTCCCTAGGCCCAATACACGATGATGACAAAGAGCTATAATTTGAACTTCTAGAAAGCTATCTTGAAGGAAATGTAGCTGATGAAGGAAGCAATGGTGTGGATTGTGAGAGATGGAGGCGCTCCAAGTTTTTGGACTCACCCCTGGCTGGAAAATGGGGTCCTTCTGAAGGACTTCTCCATTAAGGATCTTATAGTGGAAGACTTGAACTCAAGTGTGGTTGAATGGATGTCTGCTGATGGTGATTGGGATTGGGAAAGACTCAAATCCTACCTCCCCAACGACATTCTGGTATGCATCGCATGCAGGGAACGACCTAAACCGGAACTGGGAAAAGACAAGACCCTTTGGGGAATCGAAAAGAAGACAGATTTAGACTTAAATCAGCCTACAACCTCGCAGATGGCAACATAAAAAAAAAAAAGAAGAACTGAAGGCATGTGGAGAGATCTATGGCGCTAGCCAACTAAGCCCTGACAAACATTTTCTGTGGATGAAAACTCACAACAGACTCCTTATAAACAAAGAAAGAGAACGGCGAAAACTTGCTAGCAATGGAGATTGTCCCCACTGCAATGGCCCGACAGAGACAGTGGAACACATCCTGCGAGACTGCAAGATGTCAAGCGGGGTGTGGCGGAAGTTCAAAGATAATTTTAGAGAACAAGGAGTCTCGAGCGACTTCAATACTTGGCTCAACGAAAACCTTAAAGATGACGAGAATGGAGTCGCATTTGGCATTATTTGTTGGATCCTATGGAACAGAGGAATGAAGAAGCAATGGAGGGCAAAGGTATTCAGAAGGAGTTATCCATTGAAGTCAAGTATGGATCCAAATCTATGCTAAAGCTAACGAGAATGCCTAGGTTTGCCTTCTCCCTATGCAGAGAACAAAGGAGAATTTGCAGATCGCTTGGTCTCCCCTAGAGAAAGACTGGATCCAGGTTCAAACTGATGGCTTTGTCATCACGACGACAAGCATAGTTGCTACAGGGGGGAATGCTACGAGATCACAATGGGAGATGTGTGGAAGCTTTTGCGTGTAATTTGGGGAAATGCTCAATCACGAGAGTAGAGCTCAAGGGCACGGCTGAAGGTCTCGAGAGAGCTTGGAATAGAGGTTTCAGGAAGGTTAAGCTAAACCTTGACTCCTCTATTGCCATTTCCATCGTCAAGAAGTTGAAGGATGATGACCATATCCATGGCTCTTTGGCTAAGCTATGCTTTTGGAACGTGGCTGGACTATTAGAGTTGCTCATATTTTTAGAGAGAAAAATTGTGCAGCCAACTTTTTGCCTAATAGGGAGTCATTTTGTTACCTTTTGGCATATTCGATCAATGAGTGCAACCCGACCCTATGTTGTTTGCTCTCTTACTATATCATGGGTATTTTCATGGATTAGGGCTGGCTATTTGGTCTGGGTTTTTTGGTTTTACCCGAAACCGGACTGTATAACCCAGACCGAGACCGGACCGGGACCGGATAGTAAACAATCCAATCCAATCCAATCTTTGGGCTTAGATTTGAGGTAAAAAACCGTTTGAGACCGGATCGAAAACTGGATAAAGACCGGATAAGAGAGCTCAACACTCAAAACTTAAGGGTAATTTGCATAAACGGTCACAAACCTTTGCACTTAGTACAAAACTTAACCAACTCCTCACCCTTTCAGGCCTTAGGCCACTCAAATCCTCACAAGCTCAATATAAAATCAAGACCGAATTGGGACCGGACCGGGTCAAGACCGAACTGTATCTAATCTAATCTTTGGTCCTTATATTTTCAAAAAGACCGGACTGAACCGGATCAATTTGGGCCAATTTAACCGGACCGGACCGTATAGGTAGGGATGGCAATTTTGACCTGACCCGTTTTACCCGACCTGTTTGACCTGTTTTGGGGCGGGTCCGACCCGCCCCGTAGGCGGGGCAGGGCGGGCATGGGTAGTCTCATCGACCCGACCTGCCCTGACCCGCCCCATTCTCGACCCGTTCTTGTCTAAATTACATGTAATCTTAGTCAAATTACTTAGAATTTTCCTTTTATTGCTTCATATTTTGGCTATAATAAAGTTATAAATGAGTAAAAACCTCAATTTCTCCAATAATTTAACTACAATTGTCATAATATTGTTTGTTTTCTTAGTATTGTAATAAAAATAACGAATATTTCTAATATTTTCATATAAATTGTATACCCATTGGGTCGCCCTGCCCCGACCCGCGACCCGTGATCAATTACTCGACCTGGACCCGACCTGCCACGGGGCGGGTCTGGGTACCAAGAAACCCGCCCCGGACCTGCCCCATTGCCATTCCTACGTATAGGTATAGCCACCCTACCATGGATCGTCTTGTTTCTAATATGAATTAGGACACCTACTACGTCCTTCCTTAAAAAAAAAAAAAAAAACAGAATCGCTACAGAAGAAAGAAGTTCAAAGCTTCCCCCCGTTTGTTTCTCCGATTAGCTGCTGAGTAGAGTACGAAACAGTACCGTACCGTCTCCAGTTCCCGTTAGTTACTTCGATTGCAAACGGTGGAGGGATTTCCGGAGGTCCAGCGCAGAACCAAGTGGGTGTATGGCGATGACGATTGAAGGAGGGGGTGGAGGGACATTGTCGGCGATTTATCAGAGCGCGAAGAAGCTGCTACTGAAAGCTCGCGACGGGATCGAGAGAGTAGAGCGGCTTGAGAGCTCTACCTCTAATGGTGGATTGGATTCTCCCGAGCTTTCTTTCGCCGTCAAGAAGGATATCTCTCAGATCCAATCCCTTTGCGCCGAGATGGATCGTCTCTGGCGCTCAATAGCTTCCAAACCTCAACGCGATCTATGGAAAAGGTATTCGCCAATCTCATTTCCTACTTATCTCCTTGATTTCTTCATCCTCCTCCGCAATTGGATATTCAAATTCCAACCTACACCATTGGTTCTCATTCCCAGCCTTGTTGCAGAAATTAAAACCCTAAACTGTAAGTCTGGATTCCTGGAGATTCTCTGGGTTGCTCGAGCTTCCTATTTTTAGTTTTGCATAGTTCTAGAGCTAGCTAATGATTGAAATGAGTTTATTAGCCTGTGATTTACTTTCGTCCCAATCCTTGAGAATTGCGATGAAAAGTTAATTTCTGGCTCTTTTGTTGTTTGGTTACTGCGTCCTGCTTATGATACTGTGAACCCTCATAAGAGATACGTATTGTTGAGATGTCGGAATCTCTCCTTACCTTGATTGTTTGAATTGTTGTCATCTGTGACAGAAAGGTGGAACAAGTAGCAGAGGAGGCTGAATCATTGAAAGAAAGCCTGGATAGATACTTTGCGAGGAATCAAAGACGGATGAAGGAGGCACAAGAAAGAGCAGAATTGCTTGGGAGAGCGGTACTCAGTTTAATACAATTTCTAGCAGGCTCAATATGGGTCAATGTTAGTTTTCTTGTTGATCGTATTGGTAGAAAATGAACCATCTGATCGAAGTCAATTCATGTTTCAGAATGGGGAGTCTTCTCACGTGTTGAGAATATTTGATGAGGAAGCGCAGGCAATGCAATCAGTCCAAAACTCTAAACGGATGCTGGAGGATTCTTTGTCCACAGGATCAGCTATCCTTACAAAATATTCAGAACAAAGAGAACGCTTGAAGGTAATAGCAGTCTGTGTTTGGCTAAAATAGGTCTTCTTACTGCTGCACTAGGAAATTGGAGTACATGTCTTACCTATTGCTTGAATTGTGACTGCGTGAGTTAGGGATAAATTCTCAGAAGCTTTCAGAGAGTTAGTTGAACAATGGGAGAACTGGGTGCTTCAATTCTTGTGGTTTAAGTGTCTCTTAAGTTGCATAGAAGGCAGGGGATCATGAAACTGTAGGTGTTCAGATTCTCTCGGAGGCTGTTTAGATGTGAGGATATTAAAATGAGTGGAATTTGACTCATGATAGATTTTGGAAATCATGTTGTTTGGATGAACTACTTTAGAGAAGTAACTGCAAAATATGGGTCCCGTAAGTTACTAAATTGATGGAATAGACAAATCGTATCTTCCGTGGAGAAATTTTAGGCGTAGCGATTTTGCTACTTCCATCAATTTGGGATCTGTTTTTGGTCATCCTAACCGATGAAGCTCTGAATTCTCCCAGTAAATGAAAGTTTAAGGCAATTCAATCACTCAGTTTTCACGTCCAAACAAACCCCTTAGATTGTTTAGCCTTATATAAAGAGAGAAGCTTAAGAATTTCTTGGCATACTATCTTTTGCTGTCCAGCAAGTATTCTCGAGATTTAGCTTGTGCTGGGATATTGTTCTAGTTAACCATGATCGATATGCTACCGTAAAAGTTGTTTACATGTCTACCGGTCTCTATGAATTGTGATTGACAGAGGGCGCAACGGAAAGCTTTGGACGTGCTCAACACGGTTGGGCTGTCAAACTCTGTGTTGAGGCTGATTGAAAGGCGGAACCGAGTGGATACATGGATCAAGTACTTTGGAATGGGTGTTACTATCGTCATTTTGTATTTCTTCATATCTTGGAGAGGTTGAACTGGAATCTCTCTCGTTCTTGTTCTTCCTCCCACTTTCTTTCTTTCAATATCTGGCTTACATAGAAACCCATTTTGCATCCATAGGAAGAAAGAATGAATTTGTAAGACCTCATTGAAGACATGGAGTGACGGAAAGATGTACATGCATAGAGTCGTGTTACATATTACAACTAAGAAAGGGGGTCTTGCATTTTTTTTAAAACTTGGTGTGTACTTGAACCTGTAGGCTGTAGGCTGTAGTCAACAAAGATGTATTGGGTTGGAGTTAAATGAAGGTATATGCATTATTAATAGTTTAGATTGGGTCCAATTAGGGTTAATTTGTTGGTACGATCCAAATGGTCTATTTGAATTCAAATGATCGTATTCTCGAAACGACTTGGATCCAATTACGCATTTAATGTCGATGTTTCCACCTGTCCGTTAGTTTCATATAACAAAATGGTAAAAAATTCATTAAAATTAAATATCTACTTTCTTTTGAATATCCAGTGCAATTTAAACACAAATTAAAAAGTTGAGTTTGACTTAGGGGTCGTTTGGAAGTTAGGAGTCTAAATGAGTGATTCTGTAAATGTGTGTATTCTTTATAATCTATCGTTCTTTGGACATAAATTTATCCAGAATGCATGCATTTGATTGGTACTTTAGAATCCCAAATGGCTAGAATCATTCATTTTAGAATCTCTACAAAAAGGTGAGATTCTCTTGCTTTACTTTTGTAATTGCTTTTTTGCACCTCTTATCCTTATTTTTTTTTATATTTCATATTTGCCCATTCTTTAATTGACTATATAAAGAGAACTTCAAGGTTATATAAGTCTTTTTGGTCATTAAAGTGAGAATCCTTATATTCTTTAAAAGTGAGAATCACAACTAATAAATAACATATTCTTACAATCATCTATTTCTTACAATCACTACACTCAGAATACATACATTGTAAGAATATACATATTCATAGACTCCCAACTTCCAAACGATCCCTTAGTTCCAAAAGCAAAATTAGCTAAACCTGATTTGTCCTTAACTAAGGAAAGGGTTACTTCCTTGTTAAGGTTAAGGGCTGGCATTGTCTCTGCTCTAAACATTAAACAAGCTAGTTAATATGCTGAAAGCTCCCTATCTATTTTGGTCAGTGGACTGGATCAACACAACTAGTGGAATGAACATAATCCGATAAACCAATCTGAAGAAGACGCGAATCCAAGACTAAATCTAAAAGGCTATCTTGATGTCACCTAATTCTATAAAAGAAAAAATTTCTATAAACTCAGTGGTAAGGTAAGAACAGTTTGAGAACGCGGAAGTACACATGAAAAGAGGTCATGAAATGGGGTTAGGAATTAGGGCGGAGGAGGAGTGTGCCACTCCAATTCAGTGAAAGCATGATTTTATCAAAAAGAGAAAAAAGTAAAATCGTAAAGTGTAGAATTAAAGTGTCAAGCGTAAGTTTGTTACGCTTAGTATAAAATAGCTAAAATGTGTTAAGTACGACATACTATGTAAAATATAAGTGCACAAAATTTAGATAAGTTAATAAATATCTGCAATTCATGTTTATGGGTCGTTTGGATGTGGAAATCTAAAAATGTAGGAATAGCCTTTAATTTCCACATCATAGAAAACTTTGGAATTGACTAATGGAAATTTACCAAAATTTCATGTTTGGATAGAGTTACGAGATGTGGGAATTACTGGTATGGGAATCTTCCAAAGTACCAAAATACCCTTCAACCCTTTCTACACAACTCATTCTCAATTCTCAAAATTTTTGAACTAACTACAACAAAACATGCTTAATATGAATATTAATTCAATATAACAGTAGTAGCAATCCAAGCATTATATTTTGTATGTGAGCTATCATAGACAAAACTCTATGCTGACAAAATTGAATAACTAGTTATTGCTTCTGCTAACTACTTTTGCTATTGCTCTAATTGCTTTTTGCTGCAGCTGAATTTTCTTGTTGCTGTCATTTTTTATTGCTGCTGTTGCCAAAGAGGAAGGAAAGAGGAAGAGAGAGAGCAAGCGAGGAAGAGAGAGAGAGAGAGAGAGAGCAGAGGTAGGAAGGAGGGTTAATTTGGGGGCTAATACCACTACAACACCCGAACTATCACAAAAATGCCACTTGTGTCCTATTGTATTCAATATTCCTTTCATGTCCTCAACTATGATACTTTATGTCATTTGTATCCTGTCAATTTCGTTGACCGTTAAAGATAATGGTTGACCAACGGTGGTCAACGCAAAGTTGACTTTTTGTTGACATGGCAAAAGATGTGGCTGCCACATAGATGCCACGTTGGCAATTTTTTAATTCAAATTAAATAAAAATTGAGTTAAAATTAAAAAAAACTGTAAATTCAATTATATTATTAAGCCAAAAATTTTAAAAAAATAAAAATCTCATTATTCTTCTTTCCTACCGATTCGCCGTCTTTCTCTAAAAAATCTCCAAGCCGATTCCTCTGCAAGAATTCTACCTCAATAAATTGAACCCATAAATCAACAAGATAGATCGACTAACCCAGAACAAATCAACGAACAAGAACGAGAAACCCAGAACAAATCAACTGAACCAGATAGATGAACCTAGAACACAAAACCAGAACCACGAACAAGAACCACGAAACCAGAACAAGAAACCTAAAACGACGCTAGCAAAGTGATCCGCTGTTAATAGGTTTCGAATCTTTATTCGGTGATGGCCAACGCCATACCTGAATCAGGGTCTCCACTGAGTAATTCCCCCCGGCGGTGGGAAGCATCAACCCTCCCCGCACTGCCATTTTGCACCAAGGATTTTGTCCTCCGTCTCTGCTCCCACATTGAATTCTCAAGCTACTTGCTTCCTTTTCTTTTGGCTCCTTTTCCGGAAAGGGTTTCACTGTGTTTACGAATTTGATTCCAGGCGCCGTCGATTTGGTTCCTCTTTGGTAATTGAGGGGAAGGGCGGGGAAGCAGATCCGGCTTTGACTGCTGTAGAATTAGGTTTTCTGGGAATCGATATTAGGGAATTAATCGTCTTCCCTACCACCACTGCCGCCCGCCGTTGCTTTCTCTCTCTTGGTCCAGATCCATCGCCACCGTCCCTCCTCGAGTCGCTACAGATATGGAAGAGAGAGGTGCCTGCATAGAAGAGATCTTATCTTGTGATTGGAAACTGAGAGGCAGGCGGTTGGGGTGTCCAGCTTCCCTGTCGACGAGCCAGCAACCCGGAATCTACCTCATCCCTTCCTCTGCTCCACCATGGTTGAACACGTTGTAGATCTAGCGCCGGGAGGAGAGCAATGAGGGAGATGAAGTTTTTATTTTGATTTTTGGTGTTTTGATTTTGTTTTTTATAATTCTTTTTTTTTTATTTTTTGTAATATTCTTTTTTTGTTGATTTTTTTAATATTATTTAATAATATTTTTATTTTTATTTTTTTTATTAAATAAATTAAAATTCCACATCATGTGCCACATTAACGCTGACTGGACTTTCTGTTAAAAACTAACGGTCAAAACGAGTCAACTTTAGCGGAAAAATAGTTCAGGACATAAATGGAATATTGAATACAATAGGACACAAGTGGCATTTTTGCGATAGTTCGGGTGTTGTAGTGGTATTAGCCCTTAATTTGGGGATGAAAAGACCAATAACGTGATAATTGGCAATTCCGAGCTGGGGGTGTAGTATTTCCAATTACTGCAATCATGGGATTTTAACCAAATTCCCACGGCCCAATTTTCATATGCTTTGGGCTTAGCCAAACATAGGATTGTAACTCAATTATAACATTATGTGGGAATGTGGACCAATTCCCACATCCAAACGACCCCTGATCGTTTGGATGTGGAAATTTTAAAACGTTGAAATTTGTCTGAATTTTCATGTTTTACAAAACCAAGGAATTGACTTGTGGAAATTGAAAAAAAAATCACGTTTGGATAGGGTTTAGTTTGTGGGAATTGATGGTTGGTATTTGGAAAAAGAAGTAAGAAAACGTGGTAATGTCAAATTACTAGGGGGAGGTGTAGTATTCTCAATTACCATGATTGTGGTAATTGAAGCCAATTTTCATGATCCAATTTCCATATCATTTTTGCTCTCCCGAACGTGGGTTTTTAACCCAATTACTGCATTATGTGGTAATATCTTAACATCTTAAGATGTTAAGATATTACCACATAATGCAGTAATTACATTTCCATGGTCCAATTACTGCATTACATTTCCATGGTCCAATTTAACATCTTAACAATAAGTTCATAAACATAGATCATAACAATAAGCTTCCCTTCTATGGAAGTTTTTCAGAAATACCACAAAAATAAAATAAAATTCCAAACAAACCACCCATTTCCTAAAAATTCCAAAAATACCCCTATTTCCCATAAATCGCCACCCCACCCAGCGGTTTACACGAAAAACGCTGAGGGGCCACGGTTTTTGTTCCTATTGGCTGAAAACCGCGTCGGGTCGGGGGGGGGGGGGGGGATTGATTGACCGCGGGGAGTAGCGATGGGGGGGGGGGATAAATTTTTCGCTATGATCAGATACCCGAACTCAAAGTTATGTTTGTTTGAAGTTTCGACCTAGGTTGGCATTGAGAGAAAAAAAATATTTCACACAAAACGCAGGAGGGGGCGGTCTACTTGTTAACCGCCACTACCCCCGGGGTTTTTAAACAAAATGTAAACCGTGGCGACCCCTACGGTTTTTGGCGGTAGGAACGAAAACCGCTGCCCCCCTTCGGTTTTTGGGAAAGAGTGGTATTTTTGGAATTTTTTGGTAATGGGTGGTATTTTTGGAATTTTTTTGTTGTATTTCTGGATAAATTCCCCCTTCTATGCTAATGAATTTGAAAAGGGGGTAGCTGGTGAATTAGATTACTCTATTGAAGCTGAGAATGCATTGAAGTACCTGATATCTATCTTTTAATTTAAAATATAATATATTGTTGGTGATTTACCTTTAAAATATACTTTTTATAATTAAATTCATGAATATAATACCTATTTAATGAACTAAAAGCGTAAAGCGTTTTGGTGAAATAGAAGTGTAAAAGCGTAATGTTTTAAGTTTTAAAGTGCAATTTAGTTCGATTTTATACACTAAATTTTTTGTATTAAAACGAAAAACGTTTTGCTAACCAAAAAACGTAAAACCATAAATTTTTAAAATTTAAAACACAATTTTAACTGCATTGGTCAGTCATAACTTACAAACAGGTCCACTACTAAGAAACTTCTGACCTGCTTTAAAAAACTTCTGGCTTACTTTGAGGTTCTGGCCTACTATGAGGAAGTTATGTTCTACTTTGA